TGAATAATGAACAGTGATTTTGGGGCTTAGCTCAGTTTGTAATGAACTTTGAAAGATATTCTATAACCTTGTATTTTTAAAAGCTTTCATGGAACATAGATGCATGTTATTGTACAATGAAAATAGTCTCTGTCTCTCTTTTTACTGATTTCAGTCAATTCCATTTTATTCGCAATGTGAAATGGGAATCCTATTAAAGACTCATTAACAGGGGTGAGGAGTTTTAACAATCCCCCAACAGGTCATCTCCACGATGACGCTGTTTTATTACTACGGGCGAATCCCTCAGGGTTTTACTTGCTTGTGGAAATTAGAGCTTTTGTTATTTAAAGTTCTCTGGGACAACCAAATCTATGAAAATGAAAGGAATAGCAATGACGTCATCGTGTAACCGTACATCAAAAGATAAGCACTGTGATCTGTTTAGTTTTTTTTTTTAGCCAGGCTTAAAATATCTGTAGATTCAAGGAGTTATAACCTGTGCGTTGAGAACATGCCAGAGACCGATTTTGGCATGCCCGGCATGACCCAGATTATGGCAAGCCCGGCATTCCAGAGAATTTAGCATGCCGGGCATGTCAGAAAATTTGCCATGCCCGGCATGCCGGAGATTTTACTGGATATGAATTACTTATTACTAGAACCTAGGCTTCTCGCGGCCAGGGTGAGAAGGTCACAGAACCTCAAATTATGCTTACAGGGCATGCGAAATTCTGTTGCATGCCAATTTCAATGCAAAACCACTCTGGGGCCACCCCCTCTATTACCAGTGAGCAAATCATTGACGATAGGCATGCGAAAAATCCTTGCATGCTAACCAACAATGAAAACATAGCAGAAATGTCCTCAATTGCTGAGGCATGCCCTAGGGAAGGCTTTAAAGTACAGAATTTCCTGACATGGATGGGGGAATTTTCCGTAAACAGCATGTGATCATGCCGGCTAGCACGTATCGCCTCCGTATTGCCCCTTTTTACAGCTAGCTAGGCTCATCTTTAGGTTCCATGGCCTGAAATGACGAAAAATTCATGCCCTAAATGTAAAAAGTCCAAAAACGTCCTCGAAATTTTAGTTTCCAAGCCGTTTAAAGTTAACTGAATTGTGGAATACAAGTTTATTGTTTGATTTAAATTATAAATATATTAATGGGAACCTCGCTTTTAGCCCTGGCTAAATCTGTATATCACAGAATTATGACATATGTGCTTGATATTCCTAGGTGTTGACCACTCTACTTAACATTTTCTTGAGAGACAACTGGTACACATGTGTGTAGGCAATGGCATCTACATGTACGTCAAATCATTCTCAAGAGTATGAACTGGCTGGTGGCTTCAACAAAGTTCAAGTCACCATTTTGGCTTCAGAATGGGGTTCAAGCAAAGGAGGACTCTCCACCATAAGCAGAGAGTTAGCCATACAGCTGGCAAAGTTCCCTGAGGTAGAAATCACTATCTTTTTACCAAGATGTAGTGAAGAAGATAAAAACCAAGCCCTATTGAGCAATGTTAAGATTGTTGAGGCGACAAGACATCCTGGCTTTGATGAACTGGACTGGCTCAGCTTTCCACCAGAACATTTGCAAATTGACGTAATTGTTGGTCACGGAGTAAAACTCGGTCGCCAGGCGCAAATCATTAAAAACTCAAAAAAATGCAAGTGGGTTCAAGTGGTACACACTGATCCAGAGGAACTAGGGATGTTTAAATCCTATAGCAAGCCAATTTCAAAAGGCGAAGAAAAACACAGAATTGAAGTTGAACTGTGTGAAATGGCAGATTTTGTTGTGGGAATTGGTCCCAAGTTGAGCGAGGCGTTCAGATCGTATCTTCGAAGCAGTCAGAAAGATCAAAATGTTGTTGATTTTACCCCGGGTATTTTTGATGAATTTGCAAATGTAAAACATAGTCCTGAGGAGAGAAAACAGTACAGCATCTTGGTGTTTGGCCGCGGAGACGATGAAGACTTTGAATTAAAAGGATTTGACATTGCTGCGAGGGCTGCTGCTTCATTGCGTGACACTCGTCTTGTGTTTGTTGGGGCCCCAGATGGAAAGCATGACGAAATAAAAGAGAAGTTGACAGGATGCGGTGTTCTTGCTAGAAACTTGAGGGTAAGAGGTTTTGTGCAGAGTCGGGAGGAATTGAAACGCCTGTTTCATGAAGTGGACCTTGTACTTATGCCATCAAGAACTGAGGGCTTTGGGTTAACTGGTCTTGAGGCTTTATCTGCTGGTCTCCCTGTGCTTGTCAGTAGCAACTCGGGTTTTGGAGAAGCTCTTAGCAAGGTGTCATTTGGCTCATCATTTGTGATCGATTCAGAGGATCCCAATGTTTGGGCTGCCGCCATCAAAAGTGTTTGGGACAAAGACAGACAACAACGTCTTGAGGAAACTGAAACTCTTCGCACTTGCTATGAGAAGAAGTACAACTGGGCCAAACACAGCAGAAATCTCCTCGATAGGATGATTAGCTTGGCTCATGGTATGAGTTTTCGATTACGTTACTTAGAAAGATTTCTTACATGTAGGTAGAAACAATAATGAGCTTGTATATGTTAAAACAATCTGATTATTTTTTAAAAAATCACAGAACCTTTTTGTTAATGGTTACAAACATGAATTCAAACCCACGACAAGCTGAGCAGAAATAGTTACTGAGCAGATCATTAAGTCAACCAATCTAAGAAAGAAAAAAAAATCGTTGCTTTTTAGATTGAGGCTTCGTGTTTGTGTTCAAGTTGTTGTGTTCATTCACAAAAAAGAAAACTGGCAGTGTTTTTCCCGCCTTCTGTCACACCATTTCCACTATGCTTTGATCACGTGCTGTAATGTAGCCCGAGCGGGGTACATTGCTTAATGTATCACGATCAGGATACATTTGATTTTAGTCTCGGCCACGTGACCAAGAATCAAGCAATGGGAGTCCCTGTTTAGTTGAGTGAAAGTCTAGGAATATTACATTTTAATTATATCACCGTTTCAGCTGAAACTGAAACTCTGAATTCTTGTTTTTAGTTCCCTCGGATGTTGATACCAATCTTGAAGAACGTGTAGCAGGCCTAAAACGTAGCGCGGAGTTTATGCAAGACACGGGGAGTAGCATGGAAGAAAACTTCAAATCTCTGAAGTCAGACAACGGCACTGCTCAAAAATGTTTAACTCAAACCGCGATTGCTGAAAAGGAGAGCTCTGCTATCTCTCACATCTGTTGTGGTAAGTAATATATTAATGTAAAAGTTATTTTATCTTGAAATGGGGAAGCCAAAGTTTTAATACCTTCACTTTTTTTAGATTTATTTTGTTAGAATTTCAATTAAAGATGAAACTTAGATAGACCACAAACAGTCAGTAGTTCAGTAACCACACAATAGTTCAGTCTTGTGTGGGGACAGGCAACGTTAGGGGTGGGCAGTTTTAATTGGCGAGAAAGCATTTTCTCAGTTTAGTAAAGGACTACCATTTGGCTAATTCCCTAGCGAGAACGTAATTTGTAAATTTGCCGCTTTTATCGTTCTTATGATTTTAATATTTCGTTTGGGAACAAGAAAGGGGGTGATGTTGATTGTTTACAAATATGGACGTTCGAGTGTTCATGAACACGTAATTTTGTGTGTATCTGGTAAAAAGCGCATAGAATGCTTCCGTTACTGTTCTTGTTATACCGAAGGGAACGTATCGGCACCAAGGCATTCCGGCCTCATTGTAACTTTTAGTAGCAACCTAGCTTATAACTTTCATAACAAATAGTAGACGATCATACTGTGTGGCAATACGACCTTGTAATTGTCATCGGTAGCATTTGATGCGCTTTATGTCAGTAATAGAATCAGTTGTTTTTGTCGACGAAGGTGCCCATGTGTGCGGCGTCGTTTGTGTTACCAAACGAAAATCCTAAAGTAAACGTTAACTTTGTGATAAGCATGATAAAATTGATAAAGAATACATATAGTCTTTACTAGTAAATTAATGAAAATTTTCCCTTTATCCGATGCCGTAGAGAATACAGCCTTCAGGAAACTAAAAAACCCGTTGCATACAGTAAAAACCCGCGACTAAGAACCTGCATTTTCCCACGTCTCTAAACAGGTTCTTACATAAATGGTTGTAATTAGCATTAATTTAGGCCATTAAGGTTCTTTAAAAATAGATTTTTATTTTTTGAAGGGGAAAAAATACTAATTTTAGCTAAGATTATTTACTGTATGGTATTCATCTTATTCCTATATAAAATTTGCATACCAAATAATCAGCATTGCAGTTGGGGTGATAAAGAACGTCCAAGTTGGATCATTATTTTAGCATGCATCACTTCTGTGAATGTTGGCGAATTTTAAAGGATTTTTACTTCTTGGTTCAGTTTTTGGGCTTTTTTCGATACGCAGCTAAGGAATTTTATGAGTGTATTTTTCTTATTATTCAAGATTTGCGTTCTAAGTTAACTACACAGAGGGTTGCTAAAGTATCGTGTTTACTTTGAAAATTTGCGGTCCTTTAAATGGGTTAAGAGCAGCAAACTCCAATAGCTCAGTTGGAATGACGAGATTGAAGGAGCAGAATCAATCTTGACAGGACAATAAGTAACATTCTGATGACTTTTCAAAGCCGGTCGGCAAAAGTCAATCCCGCAAATATCGACAACATCTTGAATTTCAAAAAGCAACGCACGCATGCGCATTTTGTTTTTGTCTAGGCGTTTCCCGACTTTCCCGGCCGTTCGCCTCTGATACGTCACCGAAACGAATTGACCGAGAGGGACTGGGAAAACGCCGTACAGAACAAGGCAACGATCTTCCTAGATAATCGGGTAGAGGAAGGAACCTATTGCGTAAACCTAGTCATGGAACCTATGCATGTTACAAGCCATTTACGAGGCAGTAGACTGTGCTGATCTAGGAGCCCGGATCTTCTTCGCTAACGTTTCGAAAGGTTTTGACTTAATTGACCATAACATCTTATTGACTGAGTTGCAAAAACTAAAGGTTGACCCCGCGCTCATTAG